TAGGCATTTTGAGTTCTTACCCTATTGGATTTCTCAACTGCGTTTGATACTTACAAATTCCCTCTGCCATTGTCTTAGTGTCTTCTGTGACAGTTTCTTGGTTTTCCTCTTGCTTCATTAGCTGTTATTTCTCTTCTTAGCAGACTTCTCTTCCTCTGCTCACCTCTGTTATCAGGGTCTGAACAGGAAACAGCTCACTTAGGATAATTTGAGGAGGGTATATATACAGAGAGATTAATTGTATTTTTTAACTTTAAAAATTATTTTTTTTTTTTATTTTTTTATTTTTTTATTTTGACAGGCAGAGTGGACAGTGAGAGAGAGAGACAGAGAGAAAGGTCTTCCTTTGCCGTTGGTTCACCCTCCAATGGCCGCCGCGGCCGGCGCGCTGCGGCCGGCGCACCGCGCTGATCCGATGGCAGGAGCCAGGTGCTTATCCTGGTCTCCCATGGGGTGCAGGGCCCAAGCACCTGGGCCATCCTCCACTGCACTCCCTGGCCACAGCAGAGGGCTGGCCTGGAAGAGGGGCAACCGGGACAGAATCCGGCGCCCCGACCGGGACTAGAACCCGGTGTGCCGGCGCCGCTAGGCGGAGGATTAGCCTAGTGAGCCGCGGCGCCGGCTAAAAATTATTTTTTAAAAAACTATTTACTTATTTGGTTGAAAAGCAAACTGAGAGAGAGAGGGGGAGAAATTATCCACCCACTGGTTCACTCCCCAAATGGCTGCAACAGCTGGGACTGTGCCAGGAGCCAAGAACTCCATCTGGGCCTCCCCCATGAGTAGCAGGGACTTAAGTACTTAAGCCATCATCTTCTACTTCCTAGGTGCATTAGCGGGGAGTTGGGTTGGAAGTAGAGTAGCCAGGACTCAAATTGGCACTGCAGTATGGGATGTATGCATCACAAGTGGTGGCTTAATCCACTGCATCACAGTGGCTGCCCGAGATGAATGATAAATGATACATAGGTATGGCAGGGCATCGAGGAACCTGGGGCTCTCACAGTGGAGTGATCACCAGCTCTGGACCTAAAAAGACAAGCGGTAGTAGAGGTTACTGGAAGCCAGATGGTGAGGTGATTGGGTACAATAGACTCCTCAAGAGGAGTGATGACCTTCAGTTGAGGGTTCCACATGCCCAGGGTGACCTCACAAGAAGGAATCAGGAGATTAAATACCCTGGCTACCCTCTTCTCTCCATTTACAGTCTCCTGTTGGTGCTCCCCATTGGTACAGCACCTGGAAGCCAGAGAGCCCCTGTTGATGTCAGCCATACAGGTTAGCCCCCTGAGGTTGACAGCAGGAAGATCTTGAGGTGAAGTGGAAAATAAATGGATACTTTTGATTGTTAGCTTAGTCCCTGACGATTCTTGCACTGTATCCAGACCATCTCTCTGACTCCTTAAAGCTTTAAATCAATATCTTTCTTTATTTTATTTTTTAAGATTTATTTTATTTATTTTAAAGAGTTACAGAGAGGTAGAGATAGACAGGTCTTCCACCTGTTGGTTCACTCTCCAAATGGCCGCAATGGCCAGAGCTGTGCTGATCTGAAGCCAGGAACCAGGAGCTTCTTCAGGGTCTCCCACTCAGGTACAGGGGCCCAAGGACTTGGGCCATCCTCTACTGCTTTCCCAGGCCATAACAGAGAACTGGATCAGAAGTGGAGTAGCCAGGACATGAACTGGCGCCCATATGGGATGCCAGCACTGCACCACAATGCCGGCCCCAAATCAATATATTTTAACTGATTCTTTGGTACCTCTGTATGGATATTTTGAAACTCATCTTGTCTAAAACATAGCTCTTCTATTATCTTCCCTCCTATACTAGTTCCTCCTCTGTTACTCCCAGTAGTGATTCTACCATTCATCTAATTTCTATCCCTCAAATTTAGAGAGATCTGGCACCATTTTTTTAAAAGATTTATTTATTTATTTGAAAGTCAGAATTACACAGAGAGAGGAGAGGCAGAGAGAGAGGTCTTCCATCCGCTGGTTCACTCCCCAATTGGCCGCAATGGTCGGAGTTGCGCCGATCTGAAACTAGGAGCCAGGAGCTTCTTATGGGTCTCCCACGTGGGAGCAGGGGCCCAAGGACTTTGGCCATCTTGTACTGCTTTCCCAGGCCATAGCAGAGAGCTGGAACGGAAGAGGAGCAGCCGGGTCTCGAACTGGTGCCTGTATGGGATGCTGGTGCTTCAGGCCAGGGCTTTAACCTGCTGCGCCCCAGTGCCAGTCCCTGGCACCATTTTGACTCCTCCCTCTTCCTTATACCTGTCCCAATCACATATCGATGCTTGCAGAATTTAAGCTCTTGCATATTTCTCTAGCATGTATCCTGCTTATCCCTGCTACTACTGCTGTCCTAGTTAGATCTCATCTTTCACTTCAGTGAAAGATCAGCCCATCATCGATATCCCTGTATCCAGACTACAGCTTTTTTTTTTTTTAAAGATTTATTTATTTATTGAAAGGCAGAGTTAGAGAGAGAGAGGAGAGACAGAAAGAGAGAGATCCTCTATCCACTGGTTCAGTCTCCAAATGGCCACAGTGACTGAGGCTGGCCAGGCAGAAGCCAGGATCTGGGAGGAGTCCCACAGGGGTGTAAGGGCCCAAGGAATTGGGCCATCCTGTGTTGCTTTTCCAGGCACATTAACAGGGAGCTGGATTGGAACTCAAACCAGCACCCGTATAGGATGCCAGTGTTGTCGTCCGTGGCTTAACCTGTTCTGCCACAGTGCCGGCCCCAGGCCTACAAGCTTTTTTTTTTTTTTAATTTTTTTATTAGGAAGGCATTGTGACTCCTGGTTTCAGCCTGGCCCAGCCCTAGCTGTTGTGGAAATCTGGGGAGTAAACCAGCAGGTGGAAGACATCTGTCTCTCTATGTCTCCCCACTCCTCTCTGTAACTCTGGCTTTCAAATAAATAAAATAAATATTTAAAAAATTAAAAATTTATTTCGTTGAAAGGCAGAGTTACAGAGAAAGAGAGAGGCTGCAAATGAAAGTCTACTGAGGGGGCCAGCACTGTGGCACTGTGGGTAAAGCTGCTGCCTGCAGTGCCGGCATCCCATATGGGCGCCAGTTCGAGTCCCAGCTGCTTTACTTCTGATCCAGCTCTCTGCTGTGGCCTGGAAAAGCAATAGAAGATGGCCCAAGTGCTTGGGCCCCTGCACCTGCATGGGAGACCCAGAAGAAGCTCCTGGCTCCTGGCTTCGAATTGGCGCAGCTCTGACTATTGGGGCCAATTGGGGAGTGAACCAGCAGATGGAAGATTTCTCTCTCTCTCTCTCTCTCTCCCTCTCTCTCTCTGTAACTCTGACTTTCAAAAAATAAAACATATTTTAAAAAAAGAAAGTCTCCTGGGAACTTTTCTTAAAGTTGAGGGGACGCACTTCTTTCTTCTCTTCTCTTACACTGTTCTTTGTGCATGTCATGGTTAGGGCACCATTTTGAACCAAGAGTACAGCAGCACAATTGGCCCGAATTTGCCAACTGCAAAAGAAACAGGGAATGAAACTACAGTGGTGGGCACTGGGTACAGCAGTTAAGATGCCATTTGGTATAACCACATCCCATATTCGAGTACCTGGGTTTGAGTCCCAGTCCTGCTCACCATTCCAGCTTCCTGCTAATGGTCACTCTGGGAGATAGCAAGTGATGGCTTAAGTACTTCAGTCCCTACCACCCATGTAGGATACCCAGGTGGAGTTCCTGCCTCTTGGGTTCAGCCTGGACAAGCACTGGATGTTGTGAGCATTTGAGGAATGGACTAGTGGATGAGAGATCTATCTGTTTCTCTGTCTCTCTCCTCCTGCCTTTCAAATAAATTACTTAATAAAATAACTTTAAATGAAAAAAGTACAACAGGTTGAATTGTTTGGTATTGGAGAGGAAATAAATAAATAGAACTGAATGGAATCCAGAAATTGACTCAAATACATATGGATATTTAAACTACGGCACAGGTGGTTTTTAAACATTAGGGAAAGTTCCTGGCTCTTGGCTTTGTTCTTGCCCATCCCTGGCCATTGTGGGTATTTGGAAAGTGAACCACTAAGTAGAAGATTCTCTCTCTTTCTACCTTTCAAATAAAGCTAAAAAAATTGATGTTAATTCAATTACCTATTCAGTAGAGGGTATTGATATAATTCAGTAGTCAACTGGAGATTAAAGCTAGAAATGTATTCCACCAAATTGTAGGGAGCCAAGGAGAGTTACTTTGGTAGCTAATGTGTAAGCTCTCTCTATCATCCCCCGCTCTGCAGAGCTGCAGGGGATGCAGAACTGGACCAAGAACAGTTCCTCTGGCCACTCATTTTGTGCTGACTTCCCTGTAAACCTGACAGTTCTTTTTATTAACTTACCACCTTTGTCCCTTCTCCCAACCTTTCTATATATCCGCCATCTATTTTTTTAATTTATTTGACAGCTAGAGTTAGACAGTGAGAGAGAGAAAGGTCTTCCTTCTGTTGGTTCACCCCCCAAATGGCCACCATGGCCAGCGCCTGATCAGGAGCCAGGTGCTTCTCCTGGTCTCCCATGGGGTGCAGGGCCCAAGCACTTGGGCCATCCTCCACTGCCCTCCTGGGCCACAGCAGAGAGCTGGACTGGAAGAGGAGCAACTGGGACTAGAAACCGGCGCCCATATGGGATGCAGGCGCCACAGGCGCAGGATTAACCAAGTGAGCCACGGCGCTGGCTCCCAGGTTTACGGGACTTTCCTCAGTATCTCTTTATCATTTGTTTCCCGTTTCTCCCTGAAGTGTCTTCCTCTGATCGTTTCTGCCGCTCTTGGTTGTCGGCCTGTGGTCTCTAGAGCGTCCACCATAGCCGCGGTCCTCGTCTCTGCTGATCCTCAGCAGCATCCTGTCATGTCACCGGCCGCCATGGCTACCTTTGAGTGTGCCGGAGAGCGCTGTGTCAACCCCGCGTCCTTCCAGCATCGGCTTCACCGAGTGTGCCACAGCCACTTTACATACTTACCTCTCTCATTTCAGATTGTGAGATGGGGCCCGAGAACAAGGCGGCGATTCCCAAGGAAGAAGTCTCTGAGGAATCCGAGCCACGTGGGTCAGTTCTAGAAAAACTTCCCTCAGTGCTTTACCAAGGCCACCAGTTTGTAGCAGCGTGTGAAGAGGATATACTGGAGGAACATTCAAGACAGTCCACAGAAGAGATTGTGGAGCAGATGTCTCCTCAGAGGGGAGACTTTGCATCAGGGTTGATTGTCTTTAAGAAATCACCCTCCAGTGAGAATGACAGTGAAGGAGGCTGCAGTCCCAGCCTAGACCTGGTGACACATCAGGGGGACACGACAGCAGATGGAGTTGGTGCATTTGCTCCCTCTGGCCAAAACTTCATAGACAGTTTAGAATCCAACAAGACGCCGAGAAGTTCTGTGGGAGAAAAGCCTCATACGTGCAAAGAATGTGGGAAGGCCTTTAATCAGAACTCACATCTCATCCAGCATATGAGAGTTCATAGTGGAGAAAAACCCTTTGAATGCAAGGAATGTGGAAAGACCTTTGGAACGAACTCAAGCCTTCGCAGGCACTTGCGAATTCATGCTGGAGAGAAGCCGTTTGCTTGTAATGAATGCGGGAAGGCCTTCATTCAGAGCTCCCATCTCATCCACCATCACAGAATTCACACTGGAGAGAGACCCTATAAATGTGAAGAATGTGGTAAAGCGTTCAGTCAGAACTCAGCCCTGATCCTACACCAGAGAATCCACACTGGAGAGAAACCTTATGAGTGTAATGAATGTGGGAAGACCTTTCGGGTTAGCTCCCAGCTTATTCAGCATCAGAGGATCCACACTGAAGAAAGGTATCATGAGTGCAACGAGTGTGGCAAAGCCTTCAAGCATAGCTCAGGCCTTATTCGACACCAGAAAATTCACACTGGAGAAAAACCGTATCTGTGTAATGAATGTGGGAAAGGCTTCGGCCAGAGTTCTGAGCTTATCCGGCATCAGAGGATTCACACAGGGGATAAACCCTACGAATGTAACGAGTGTGGGAAGACTTTTGGCCAAAACTCAGAGATTATTAGACATATTAGGATTCATACTGGTGAGAAACCCTACGTGTGTAAGGAATGCGGGAAGGCCTTCAGGGGGAACTCAGAACTTCTGAGACATGAGAGAATTCACACTGGAGAGAAACCCTACGAGTGCTTTGAGTGTGGCAAGGCTTTCAGGCGGACCTCTCACCTTATTGTCCACCAGAGAATTCACACTGGAGAGAAACCCCATCAGTGTAGCGAGTGTGCAAGAACCTTTTGGGACAACTCGGAGCTGCTGCTCCACCAGAAAATTCATATTGGAGAGAAACCTTATGAATGTAGTGAGTGTGAGAAAACATTCAGTCAGCATTCCCAGCTCGTCATCCACCAGAGAATCCACACTGGCGAGAAGCCTTACGAGTGTCAAGAATGTCAGAAGACCTTTAGCCGGAGCTCTCACCTGCTCCGACATCAAAGTGTTCACTGTATGGAGTGATCCGCACGTAGGAAAGCCTTGTGTGGAAGTGCTGAAGTCAGACTTAACTCATTTGTTCATAATCAGATGAGTGGACAGAACTTCCCCTGCCCTTCCACTGACTTTTTTTTTTTTTTTTTTTAATTTAAACTGTTGGTTGCAAAGGATGAGGCACTTTATCAACCATTCATTGCAAAGTTTCAGTGTACTGAGCTAATTCATAAAAGCGGTTTCAGGCCTTAAATCTTCTGTGCCCCTCTTTCCTTCCCTCCCTTCTCCCACAGCAGCTCATGTAACATTAGGAGTCTGTCCCGGCCATCTAGCCTCAACTCCTGCTCAGGGGTGGGGTGGGCAGTGGGGGAAGAGGATTCCACCCCTGGACTCATTGACTATGATCCCCTAAAGTGTCAGAAAGTCAGCACCTAGAAGACACACCTTGTTCTGTCCCACTTAGCATTGGAGTCATTCAGTAAGCTTGTTGTAGCCTCAAGAGTCTGCCAGCCATGTTCTCATGTCCCCGTAGAAGAGGAATGCATGCATAAAGAAGCAGGAAGCTTGGATCATTTCACATGTGCTAGGTTTCCTCATTGGTTTGCAGAGGGTACCAGGAAGGAGGAATCGGACAATTTACAGGATTGTCAATGAAAGCCTTAGAGTGCAGAGGGGCTGACTAGGCAAGGCCAGGGGGTGAACAGTTGAGGCCAAACCACTCAGCATGGGCAGAAGTGGCTCATTAGTGGCTATCCCCACAGACTGATTGCTCCCGAGGATCCTGCCACATTCACTTTGGGCTCTAGCTCGTGCTGCTGCTGCCAGGTCCCTGTGTCAGGAGGTAGCAGAGTGGACTGTGCCGTCACCTCCACCAGACCTTGGGGTCAGTGATCAGCCAGTTTATTTGACCAGGGATCAGCCAGTTTATTTGACCAGGGACCTGGCCTTGCCTAAGCACTTAAGCGACCATGACCCACAACCCCTGCTGCAGGGGCCCCTGGCTGCTGGGCTGGGATATGACTGTTTCTTCTTGGTTTGTGCTCGAGGTCTTGGAATTCTTTCTGTTGAACATTTCCACATGTGTTCTCTTATATGTTATGTCTTTAGGAAAGCATTCTCCATGTGTCCTTGTTTGAGAGGTGGTGGGTGGCAGTGGGAATTCCACCAGTGGGCTCCAGCAGGCCCGGGGACTGGTCTTGAACTAGACCTTGGTAGAAGCACTGTACTTGCCAGTCTCTAATTTTATCATCTGTAAAATGAGGGGAGTTGAATCCAGTGCTCTGGGGTTACAACAAGCCCAATATGCCCTTGATTCCTTTTTAAAATCTAAGTTTATATACCTTCAATATTCTAGTTTTTATTCTCTTCTCTATTAAACTAGTGCTCATCATTAATGTTTTTTAAATGTTTACTATGTGCCAGGCACAGTGCCAGTTTACATTTTTATTTTCATAGCATGTCTGATGTGGATATCTTTACAAAAAAAAGTTTTACTACAGCTTCATTTACATACCATAAAATTCACCTGTTTTAAGTGTTCAGTCAAGTGATTTTTAGTTAATTTACAGAATTGCACAACTGTCAGTGATGTGGGTATTTTTTTTTTTTATTTATTTATTTATTTGAAAGGCATAGTTATAGAGAGGCAGAGGCAGAGAAAGTCCCTCATCCACTGGATCACTCCCAGATGGCTGCAATGGCTGGAGTTGCACCGATCCCCAAAGCCAGGAGCCAGGAGCTGCTTCTGGGTCTCCCACATGGGTGCAGGGGCCCAAGGACTTGAGCCATCTTCTACTGCTTTCCCAGGCCATAGCAGAGAGCTGGATCAGAAGTGGAGCAGTCAGGACTTGAACAAGTGTTCACATGGAATACCAGTGGAGTGTGGTAGGTGGCTGCTTAACCCGCTATGCCACAATGCTAGCCCCTGAAACATTTGAAAAAGGAACAGGCATCACTATTTCAAAGTCCTACCTAAGTACCCAAAAATAACCTTTAGACTTTTTGAAGTTAGGACCATGTACCCATGTATATTTTCTTCTTTGTCTAATCAAACTTAATTTTAATTGGTATACTAACACCTTAGGTAAATAAAATATCTATAGTTTTACCGACATGATGCCTTTCTAATGTGTATTCCAAACTGCACTGTTTCATTATGAGCTTAATGTGGCTTTGTGTACCAGTTACATCCCCACCCTGTAAGCCTTCACCCAGGTTTCCCAGCACTGTTGCTGGCTTCTGGCTTTGCATCTGCTGCTCGTTCCTTGTCCTTGACCTGTGCTTCGCTTCATGAGATCCTTCATCTTTCCTAACAGGCCAGGTGCTACCTATTTGTGTACATTTTTATACACTATTAACCCAATGTAAGATATTCTGAGTCAAACGGTCCAGGTTTATTTTATGTGAAAACGGTCCAGGTTTATTTTATGTGAAAGATAGATCTCCCATCTGCTGGTTCATTCCTCAAATGCCATCAACAGCCAGGCCTGGGCTAGGCCAAAGCTGAGAGCCAGGAACTGTGTCTGGGTCCCCGACCTGGGCGGCAGGGACCCAGCTGCTTGGGCCATCACCTGCTGCCTCCCAGGAAGTGGAGTGGGAACGCAAACCCAGGCACTCTGATGTGCGACGCTGGTGTCCGAGCAACATAACTGTCATGCCATCAGTGTTTTTAAAAAGCCACCTATTACTCAGAGTTCAGGGCCCTTGCTGCCTACGATTCGGTTTTTACCAGTGTTCTGAGTGACTCCCAGTCTAAGACTACGGCTGTTAAATCAAGAATCTTCCTTAAGAATTACAAAAACTCTGGCCAGAAAAACACAATTCAGGGAACGCAGGGGCTTCCTGAAGCCCAACCTTGGATCCTCGTAGTCCTTCACACGTTCCTAAGAGCAAACTTTTACCTTAAAAAAAAAAAAGTGAGTAACTTCGTAAAAAACGACCCGCGCGAGGGAAGCCCCTGGAAGTGGACGGCAGCTGCAGCCTCAGCAGGAGCCCCTCGGGAAGCGGCGGGGACGACTGCGGCGACAGCTCGAGGAGGGGCCTCCGGCCGGTGGTGCACGGTCACCAACCACGGCCGACCGGCCGAGCCCCCTCTCTAGGAGGCCAGGAGGACCCCTCGTTTGCTTGTGGTGGCCGCCGACCCCAGGGGCGGGGCTGGAAGGCGCGGGGCAGAGCGCGCGTGCTGATTGGTCGAGACGGGTGTCCTTTTCACCCTTGACCAATGGGGGCGGCGTGCTAAAGCCCGCGGCTACTTACAGCTCCGCCTCAAAGAACTACAGCTTGGCCTCTTGGGATTTGGAATTGGGGAACCCAAGGGTGGGAATTGGTCAGCTATCCCACAGATACTTATTGTAAGGGAAAGTGCAGATTGATGCCTCCTCACACGGGGCGCCAAACGTAAGGAAAAGAGAATACGAACTCCCGGCCAGACGGAATTTATGCCGAGAAAGTAAACTCGCTGAGGTTGACCAACTGCCAGAGAGCATGTAGACTGAACATGTGGCAGAGGACCCAGACCCTACCCCCAAGCAGGCTGCGCCTTTTTATATCTTAGGTGGGCTTGGGGTGGGCGTCCGTAGGCAGAGATGAACTTCCCCATACTGGTTTCTTCAGGTTTGGTCCGACTTCCAAACCTGGGGAAGAATGCAGGGGCGTGGGATGGGGAACCGTACTGGATGAGACTGAGCTGGTCTCTTGAAGGAAGGCAGGGGTAACAAGAACTTAAAATGGTCCAGGCTTATGTCCTTGTTCCATCACTTAGGGGGTCCTCACAGTGGCCCAGGCCTTTATCGACTTCCGGCCAGGCCCATTTAGATACTGAATGGCTAGTTATTAAAATACAGTTGCTGCGGAAAACCTCAAGGTATGGAAGGAAGGCAGAGTTGACATTATAAAGAAGGCACTGCCTTCTGAGGCTGCCTGAGGGCCTAAGATGTGGCCGACAGGAGGCGCTGGGACCAGGGGGCTGGAGATGCGAGGCTGAGGCTTCCTGTTAAGCGGGAGGGTGGTTATGTGTTGGGAGCCGGCAGAGGTCCTAGGCAGCTCTGGGGCAGATGGCGCAGAGAATCCAGCCAGGAGCAGCGTGCTTGTGTGCCATTGGTCCGCTGGTTTTGTCAGGCATTCCTTAAGCCGAGTGGGGATGAAGGGGAACCCTAGTCGGGGCAGGCACTGTAATCCATGCCCCACTCTGCTGACTGAAGTGGGGGGTGTCCCAGGGGCGCAGTGCATGTGGGAAAGACCTGAGAAAGGACTGTGTCTTGCATTGTGATTCCCCAGTACCGGTACCAGGCACTAGAGGTTTTCTGAATGGACGCGAAACTCGATGAATACATCCGTGCATGACCAGTAAGCAGGAGGGCCGGGCAGCATCTGAGGCTTTCTCTATAAACCAGTGACTTAAGGGTCCAGGGAATTTTCACTTCCCATCTCTTTATTATGCTTGTTTGACATTTCCTCACTGAAAAACAGCTGGAAATGGAGTGTGTGCAAGATGTGTATTGGGGAATGCTATTGGGAACACCTGAGAGAGGGAGAGAGAGAGAGAGAGAGAGAGAGAGAGAGAGAGAGAGAGAGGCAGGTGCCCCACAGCATGGGCAGGGGGATGTTAAATGTCAGTGCCACAGCAACAGAAGCCTCCACCAACCCCATGAGAACAGACTCGGATGAGCTTTCTGAGATGGTTCCGGTGGAAGCAAGGTGGCCAGGCCTTGAGCTCCTCCCCCTTCCTCACTCCCTTACCCCTACTACCAGGGATTGGAGGTGGAGAGAAGGCAGGTAGACTTGCCTGGGGCAGCTCCCTTTAGCCTAGGGCACTTCTTGGGGAAGGGGGCAGGTGTCAGCAGGGAGCACACCTGGCAGCACCTACACACTGGTTAGGACTTCTCTTCTGTGGGACAGCAGATGGGAGACAGGAATGTCAAGGACTCGGCACATGCTAAGGGCTTATTGAGTATTTTCCTCCCCCACGTGACCTGTGCCCTGGGCAGATTGTAGACTCTGGAATATTCAGACCCACTGGGGACACTGCTGCCTTTCAGCAGTCTCAGTAATATAAGCTAATGTTTATTGAGCACGGACCTGCTTCTGTCCTTGGACTAGGAGGGCACTGAATCCCCATAGCTACCTATGCATGGGTGCTATTAACTCTCCCCTTTTAGAGTGGAGGAAGTGGAGCCTCATGAGAGATTCAAATATTTAGCCAAGGTTGAATTTTCTTCACACTGTAAAATTCGAGTTGAAGTCCTAACCCCCTGTACCTCAGAATGTGTTTATTTGGAGATAGGGCCTTTAAAGAAGTAACAAAGTTAAAGCGAAGTCCCGGGGTGGACGTAAACCAGTGTGGCTGTAAGATGAATCTAGGATAGAGGCGTGCAGCAAGGGAAGGCCATGTGAAGTCGTGATGCCACGAGCATCTGCAGGCCAAGGGGAGAGGCCTCAGAGGAAACCCACCCTGCTAACTCCTTGATCTTGCAATCTGAGTCTCTAGAATTGTGAAAAAAAACAAAACATTCCTGTTATTTAAGCCACACAGTCTGTGGAGCTTCATTATGGCAGCCCCAGCAAACTAACATACAAGCTCATCACAGTGGTGAGTGCTGGATAGGGATCTGTACTGGCTGCCTACCTGTCTCAAGAAGCCACCCATGGGGCTGGTGTTGTGGCGCAGTGGGTTAAAGTCCTGGCCTGAGGTGCCGGCATCCTATACGGGCGCTGGTTCTAGTCCCGGCTGCTCTTCTGATCCAGCTCTCTGCTGTGGCCTGGGAAAGCAGTAGAAGATGGCCCAAGTCCTTGGGCCCCTGCACCCACGTGGGAGATCCAGAAGAAGCTCCTGGCTCCTGGCTCCTGGCTTTGGATCGGCACAGCTCTCACCGTTGCAGCCAATTGGGGAGTGAACCAGCAGATGGAACACCCTTCTCTGTGTCTCTACCTCTCTCTGTAACTCTTTCAAATAAATAAAATAAATCTTTAAAAACAAAGAAGCCACCTACTACTGGTCACATGATTACTGCTGTTAAGATGGGTCCGGCCGGCGCCGCGGCTCACTAGGCTAATCCTCCACCTTGCGGCGCCGGCACACCAGGTTCTAGTCCCCGTCGGGGCGCCGGATTCTGTCCCGGTTATCCCTCTTCCAGTCCAGCTCTCTGCTATGGCCAGGGCGTGCAGCGGAGGATGGCCCAAGTGCTTGGGCCCTGCACCCCATGGGAGACCAGGAGAAGCACCTGGCTCCTGCCTTCGGATCAGCGTGGTGCGCCAGCCACGGCGGCCATTGGAGGGTGAATCAACGGCCAAAGGAAGACCTTTCTCTCTGCCTCTCTCTCTCTCATTGTCCATTCTGCCTGTCAAAAAAAAAAAAAAAAAAAAAAGATGGGTCCTATCCACAGTGCGCTCATGAGGTGGAAACTGCACGATGCAGATTGGTGCTCAACAAATACTGGCAGAACAGAAGCGAACAACAGAACATGCTCCAAGCCCATTCAGATTTGCTAGGGAAGAACTATGGAGCTCTCTCCACGACACCCAATCCCCCAATCCCCCAGTCAGCCTGTCTCCACACCATTTCTGAAGGAGCTGCCCTAATCGGTGGCTACACCCCAGGAAACCAAGGTGCAAGGGAAATCTGGCAGCAGAGAGATGGCATGGGGATAGGCTCCTACCATATCAAATGCCTAATCTCCTTGGTGCCATCTGCAGGTCCCTTAGCATGCTAAGTGCTGACATGTATTAGGTGCATAGTGATAACATTTATCCCAAAGGTGAGAAAGTCAGCACACACACACACACACACAGAGCAGGGGTTGCACACATAGAAATACCCATCATGAGTGAGGGAAGGGAGAAACACTGCAGCCCCTCCAGCCCTGTCTCTGGTCTCAGGTCAAAGAGAGGGTCCTTCCTAGTTGTTGGTCTCTTTTATGAGGTAGGGGGTGGCGCCTCTCCAGGGGTGAGGGCACCTAGGCATTATATGGCACCTCCACAAGTTCCATGTGGACCTTGATGTTCACGGCATCCCCTTGAGGTCCCAGATGAAGCAGATATGTCCCAGGAAAGGGCACATTTTGGTTGACAAACAGACTAGAATCAAGTGGGGGCTCGTAACTTCCAGCTCAGCTCAGCTCAGGTTCTAACTAGCTGCCTGCCTTCACCAGCAGCTTCCCTGCAGAGCTCACGCTGTTCCAAGCAGGGCTGTCTTGCTTCTTGCCCATCCCTACTTTTTTTTTTTTTGACAGGCAGAGTGGACAGTGAGAGACAGAGAGAAAGGTCTTCCTTTGCCATTGGTTCACCCTCCAATGGCTGCCATGGCCAGCGCGCTGCAGCCGGTGCACCACGCTGATCGGATGGCAGGAGCCAGGTGCTTCTGGTCTCCCATGGGGTGCAGGGCCCAAACACTTGGGCCATCCTCCACTGCCCTTCCGGGCCACAGCAGAGAGCTGGCCTGGAAGAGGAACAACGGGGACAGAATCCGGCGCCCCGACCAGGACTAGAACCCGGTGTGCCGGCGCCACTAGGTGGAGGATTAGCCTAGTGAGCCGCGGCGCCGGCTCCCATCCCTACTTCTGAGATTTCCCTAGCAGAGCCCTCAAAGTTATGGAAAAGTACTAACCTGAAACTCTCATGATCTTGTAAAGGAAGTTGTCCTAACTGTGCTTATTTCATGACTTTGGTTTTGTGGAAGAGGGGTCTAGAAATTGACGGAAATTTGCATAAACAGCATTTTCCTCTTCTTGTGGATATGAAAGTGCCTAGCTCACGTGTGCGTTTTGCATTTCCTTTAGTGAGAGGCTTCCCCAGACATGCAGCTGAATTTGCAAGGAGCTCGGAATCTGTAAGACAGGAGATGGTCCCTATTCTTACCAATCCCAGCGGTCTCAGCCTTCAAAGCAGCGGTTATCCACTCCCAGCAGCCCAGGTCCCTGGTATCCATTACAGTGTATTTGTTATGAAACCTCTGTTTAGGGTGTTTATATGGGATTCCTAAGCCCCCTATCAACTCCCTGAGACCAGAACAGTTTGTTTCTCTTTGTCTCCTACTGCGGACAAAAGACCACAATCTTGTTAGCAGACCCAAGTTCTTTTGCTTATTCAGCTGCCCGGCTGGGAATGTCCTGCTGTGAGTCAATTCTAAGATGCACACTGGACAGGTCCAATAGGAACGAGTTACTATACAACTGTGGCAACCCAGGACTCCCTCAAGGGTAAGGACGATCAAACTAAGTACACGGAACATCTGTTGTGGGAATAGCTTCTCTTGCATAACAGAGATGGTTTCAGGTTAATTTTTTGCTTACAAAATATTTTTCTACTTTCAGCTGTCTGCAGAACGCTGAATGCAAGGCATTGCAGACAGAATGATCTATTTCTGGACTATCAAGGCCAACCCTCTAACTCATACCCTTGACTTCTTGCCCCTGCCCTTGGTGTCCCAGAATCCTGCTTTGCTCTTTCTGGCGCTAGAAATATTCTTCCCTTTTCAGCCAGCAGCACCGGGTAGCTGAAGTGGGGAGATGTTTTGTGGGGTGGAAGACTGATTAGTCTTCCCAAATTTATTCTTGATGGCAGTTTGTTTGTTTGTTTTTTTTTCTGAATGATTAAAGAGGCAGACACAGAGAGCGCTCCCATCTGCTGATTCACTCCCCAGATGCTCACAACAGCCAGCACTGGGTCAGCTGAAGGTGAGAACCCAGTGCTGGTCTCCCACTGGATGGGAGGGACCCAACTACTTGAGCTGGAATTGGGAGTCAGAGCTCGGAATCAAACGCAAGCACTCTGATATGGACACAGTCATCCTAACTGCTAGGCCAAATGCATACCTCCACAGGAAGTTTTATTTAAGATTTTACTTATTTGAAAAGGAGACAGATTGATCCACCATCCCCTAGTTCCCTCTCCAAAACGGCTGCAACTGCCCAGGGTAGTCCAGGCTGAAGCCAGGAGCCTGGAACTCCATCTGGGTCTCCACGTGGGTGTCAGGGACCAAGGACTTGGGCCATCTTCCGTTGCTTTCCCAGGCCCATTAGCAGGGAGCTGGATCAAAAGTGGAGCAGCTGGGACCTGAACCGGCACACTGGTATGGGATGGCGGCATTGCAAGTGGTGGTTTAACCTGCTGCGCCACACTGCTGGCCCCAGTAATAGTTTCAGTTAGGCAAATGGCCATCCTGTTAGAAGTTTTCTAGCCTCCTGAAGATAAATGTAACATGTCTTCTACTTCACAAAGGACTGAGGAAGCTCCTATGACCTTGCTGGAAAAGAATCGCTTGTCCTTGTGACTGTTACTTTGACTCTGCAGTGACCCGGAGTACAGGTGTGGTATGGTCATGGTCCTACTTGACCCATGCAAGAAAGACACCCTAATGGCTCAAGTACTTAGTCCTCTGCCACCCACGTGGTCCAGATGGAATTCCTGGCTCCTGGCTTCAGCCTGGACCAGCCCTGGCTGTTGCAGGCATTTGGAGAGTGAACCAGTAAATGGAAATTCTTCTCTTTCAAGGTAAAAAAAAATGTGAAAATAACTATTTTTAAAAAAAGATAAAAGAGGGGCTGGCGCTGTGGTAAAGCCGCCACCTACAGCCCTGGCATCCCATATGGGCACCGGTTCTAGTCTCAGCTGCTCCTCTTCCAATCCAGCTCTCTGCTATGGCCTGGGAAAGCAGTGGAAGATGACCCAAGTCCTTGGGCCCCTGCACCAGTGTGGGAGACCCAGAAAAATCTCCTGGCTCCTGATCTGCGCAGCTCCGGCCATTATGGCCATCTGGGGAGTGAACTAGCAGATGGAAGACCTCTCTTTCTCTCTGTAACTCTGCCTTTCAAATAAATAAATAAATCTTAAAAAAAGAAAAAAAGATAAAAAGGGGGCCAGCCTGTGGCGTAGTGGGTTAAGCTGCTGCCCGCAGTGCTGGCACTTCATATGGGTGCCAGTTCGGAGTCCTCGCTGCTCCATTTCTGATCCAGCTCCCTGCTAATGCACCTGGGACAGCAGTAGAAGATGGCCTAAGTCCTTGGGCCCCTGCACACACATGGAGACCTGGAAAAAGCTCCTGGCTCCTGCCTTCGGCCTGGCCCAACCCAGGCCATTGTGGCCATCTGGCAGGTCAATCAGTGGATGGAAGATCTCTCTCTCCATCTCTCCCTAATTCTGTCAAATAAATAAACCCTAAAAAAAAAGGTACTGAGGTTCCTGAGGTATACACTGAGCTCCCCCTAGACCAGGGCTTGGTAAACCTTTTCTGTGAAGGGCTTTGCAGACCACACACAGCCTGTTGCGTCACATTCTTTTCCAACACTTCCAAGATGCAGAAACCATCCTTAGCTTGCGGGTCACCCAAAAGCAGGCCTGGAGCTGCATTTGGATTTGGTGCATGGTCTGTAGTTTACCTCAACACATTTATGAGAGAGATAAACTTGCATGCTAGTCGGGGAAGGTTTCAAGGTGACATTTAAATAGAGACCTACGTCAAGCGGTGGCTGGTCTAACTCCGAGGGGAAAGCAGTGGGAAACAAGGAGACGGTCCTCGGTGGAAATGAGCTTGAAACATGGGCCAGGTATCAACTTACTGCCTCCTAGCTCCAAATCCACCAGTCTTGGTCTTGGACAAAGAGCTGTACTGGAGCTGGACCTGTAAGCATTTCTGTTACACCTGGCCAGCAAAAAAGGAAACAGGAAGGGGCTTCTTTTAATTCTAGACTTTTCCCTCTTGCTTTTGCAGTCTAACTGCCTGTGCTAAGCAGAGGACTCCTTGGCACCTACCAACTAGTGTCTCGCTGGCGCCTCAACTAGTAACCTCTTGCTTGTCAGCCTTGGCCTACAGCACTTCAGTGAACTTCATCATCCAGAGTGTTGTCGGTACATATTTACTTAGCTCAAAAACAAAACAATCTGATTTGTAGTGTGTGGATTTCCATGTGAATATTCCCAGCACAGCTCATTTCAACGCAGGTTTGCAAGCCCGCACACTAGGTCTGGCACAGTGCTGGGAGACAGACGCTGTCCAGGGAGGTCTGAACAGGAGTCCTGGTGTGGTGTGGGCCCTTCTGGGTATTCTCCACAGCCCTAGGGGTAGCAGCTGCTCCCTGCTCTGCTATTCCTGTGTTCTCAGAGATCGCTTTACCTCCTTTAGCAAATAACCCCCTTTTACTTCTATTCTTCCTGTTCCAAATACTAGTGTGGTTTCTGTCTCCCACCTGCACACTGCAGAAGTGACCTTGTTCAAGGAGACAGATCAATTTGGGTCTAAGAAAGTCCCATTCACAGTAAACGCTAATTCTGATTCCCAGCTCCTCTTTGCCAGGCTCAGAACTCGAATTAGGTAGGCACTGCTCTCCCTGTTCTCATTGGTGTGCACACCAGGCAGGTCAGTCTCACCTAAGGTCGTGCCAAAAAGGAGAGGCAGCACATTGTAGCCACTACTTGAGCCAAAGGCACCCTGACACATTCATGGTAACCAGAGGATACAGCTGGTGGGATAGGCAAAGTTTTTCCTAAATCAAGACAGACACAGGAAAAACCTTAAAACGCTTTTAACTTTTATGGAATCCAATCCTAAAGATCAGACAGACGTCTTTCTGGAGACTCGCTCACCCTGCACAGACTGGGCAGGCGCTGGGCCAGCATGAACTCTCTGGTGTCTGATAAGCTCTGAGCTCCACCTGTAGGCCTTCCCGCATCTTTGACAAACGAAGGGCTTCTCTCCACTGTGGATTCGCAGATGCTGACTCAGATAGGAGCTCTGGCTGAAGGCCCTCCCGCACTTCTTACACTCATAGGGCTTCTCTCCGGAGTGGATCCTCCGGTGCTGGACAAGATGAGCGCCCCACCTGAAGGCCTTCCCGCACTCGCTGCATTCGTAGGGCTTCTCCCCTGTGTGAATCCTCTGGTGCTGAATGAGGTTTGAGCTCTGGTTGAAAGTTTTCCCACAGTCACTGCATTTGTAGGGCTTCTCTCCAGAATGGATCCGCTGGTGGATTACAAGGTGTGAGTTATAAATGAAGGCTTTACCGCATTCATTACATTCATGGTCTTTCTTCCCTGGGGGAGCTTTCTTGTGGGTGACGACCATCTGCCTCAAACTCGCTCCCTGGGCAGGGGACTGCCTTGGTCTCCCCGCTTTGGGATTTCTCTGCTGCTGTTCTAAGGCGCCTTCAACTTGAGAGGTAGCTTCGAATGCGGAGGTGAGGGAGGCGGTGGCTGGTGTTTCTGAGGACGCCGGTGATTCCACTTCAGTACTGGGTGGTTCTAGCAACGCCCCTTTGTCCTTGGGCTCTGCGCCGTCTTCTATAACAACTGGCGGAAAATGTAAATACTCCTGTGCTGGATGTGCAGAGAAACAACATTTAGATTAGTATTCAGACTTTCCATTTCTAAAAATAAAAACTTAAAAAAAAGATATTCACTATACGTATAACAACTGGGACATGAGTTAGAGATTATCAGTGGCTACTTCTTGGTGATGGGATCGTATAGGGAAGGGGATTTTACCTTTTCTCCGTGCCTGTTTGTTTTTCTTTCCTGATTTTTTACATAATGGAACACTAAAGAAGTGTCATTTTAAAAATAAGTTTCTGGGCTGGCGCTGTGGTGCAGCAGGTTAAAGCCCTGGCCTGCAGCACTGGCATGATATGTGGGCACCGATTCGAGTCCTGGCTGCTCAGCTTATGATTCCAGCTCCCTGCTGATGTGCCTGGGAGAGGAGTGGAGAGGATGGCTCTTTCAAATAAATATGGAAAAAAAAAAAAGTTTCAAAGTGGGGTCTTTTTAGGATCTATTTTAAAAAGTGGGAGTAAAAGAAGTATTTACACGGAATAGGAGAATGGTAAATGGATGTTGTGAGGAAGGGGGCACAAGAAGAATCATTAGGGTTAGGCAGAGGCGGTGTTCCAGAAGGTGGAAGACTCTGCCCCGCCTGGCTGTGGAGCCTGCGCCTCTGCCCAGGGATCTCCCGCAAGCCCAGGCATTGAGGGGATCCTCAAGCAGCTGCCTCCTGTACTGGAGGAGCGACTTCCAGCTCCCTGCATCCTACACGCTTTTTTTTTTTTTTTTTTTAAAGAAGTAAAGAATGGTTTGCCTTTTTGTTTTTAAATGTCTGTAACACATTTTATGGTTTATTTGTCTGTAGCATCCTTACATCTAAGGAGAAAACAAACTGCTTTGAGGTTACCCAAGATTATTTGATTTAAAAAGTAGATTCACCCAGGTTAAATGTTAGGATTACTCTGAAATATGCTTACTGTGAAAAAAGTTACTACCTTCCTTTTAATTTTATTTATTTTTCATTTATTTTCATTTTATTTGAAAAGCAGAGACAGAGGAAGTTGGAGACAGGCAGAGAGAAATTTTCTGTCTGTTGGTAAACTTCCCAAATGTCTGCAATGGCTGGGGCTGAGGCAAGTGAAAGCCAGGAGCCCAGAATTCCATCCGGATCTCCAATGTTGGGTGCAGGGACCCAAGTTCTTGAGCCATCACCCGCTGCCTCCCAGCACGCATATCAGCAGGAAGCTGGAATCAGAAGTAGAACCGGGGGCTGGTGCTGTGGCGCAGTAGGCTAAGCCTCCATCTGCAGCACCGGCTTCACATATGGGCGTCAGTTCATGCCTTGGCTGCTCCTCTTCCAATCCAGCTCTCTGCTTATGGCCTGAGAAAGCAGTGGAAAATGGCCCGTATACTTGGACTCCTGCACCCACATGGGAGACCCTGAAGAAGCTTCTGGCTCCTGGCTTTGGACTGGCCCAGTGCTGGCTGTTGCAACCATTTGAGGAGTGAACAGAAGACCTTTCTCTATCTCTCCCTCTCAAATAAATAAATTAATTAACAAAAAGCAGAAATGGTACTCTGAGATGCAAGCATCCCAAGCGTCACCTAAATCACTGTGCCAAATGCCTGCCAAGCTACTTTTTATTTATTTATTTGAAAGGCAGAGTTAGAGAGAGAGAGAGAGAAAGGTCTTCCATCCACTGGTTCACTCTCCAAATGGCCACAACTACTGGAGCTGTGCTGATCCAAAGCCAGAGCCAGGAGCTTCTTCCATGTCTCCCACATGGGTGCAGGGGCCCAAGAACTTGGGTCATCTTCCACTGCTTTCCCAGGCCATAAGCAGAGAACTGGATCAGAAGTGGAGCAGCTGGGACTCAAACTGGTGCCCATAAGGGATGCCGGCACTGCAGGCGATGGCGTTACCTGCTACGCCACAGCGCCAATACCTAGCTACTTAAAAAAAAAAAAAATTTATTTGAAAGGCAGAGTTATAGAGAGGCAAAGGCAGAGAGAGAGAGAAAGAGAGAAAGAGGTCTTCCATCCGCTGGTTCACTCCCCAAATGGTTACAACAACTGGAACTGGGCTGATCCAAAGCCAGGAGCCAGGGTACAGGGGCCAGAGTACTTGGGCCATTTTCTACTGCTTTCCTAGGCCGCAGCAGAGACCTGCATAGGATGTGAAGCAGCCAGGACTTGAACCAGCACTGATAACGGGATGCTGGCACTGCAGGCAACAGTTCTACCTGCTACACCACAGCACCAGCCCCGCTACCTTCTTTTTAAAAGGATCATGTTGATAAACAGAGGCAGTAAAGGCAATAAGAAGGGTCTGGACAAAAGGCAAAGAAAGAATCCCTATTTCTAGTTTTTCCCCTTTGGTTGCTAACAAGAATTTAACTTTTCAAATGCTTTGGTTTGGTTTGGTAGAGGCAGTATAAAATACACTATTAAACAGAAACTCCACATTATAGTGGTAGACGTTTGTTGCAGTGGTTAAGTTAACCACTTTGTTTTTGTTTTAAAGACTTATTTATTTTGAAAGGCAGTGTTACAGAGTGAGAGAGGGAGAGATGGAGGGAGATGTTCCAGGTCCACTCGCCAAATGGCCACCACAGCTGGGCTGGGCCAAGCTGAAACCTGGAGCCAGGAGCTTCATCTGGGCCTCCCATGTGGGTGCAGGGGTCCAGGCTCTTAGGCCATCTTCCACTGCTTTCCCAGGCACACCAGCAGAGAGCCAGACTGGTAGTGGTGCAGCTGGGTCTTTTTTTTTTTTTTTTTTTTTGACAGGCAGAGTGGACAGTGAGAGAGAGAGACAGACAGAAAGGTCTTCCTTTGCCCTTGGTTCACCCTCCAATGGCCGCCACGGCCGGTGCGCTGCGGCCAGCGCACCGCGCTGATCTGATGGCAGGAGCCAGGTGCTTCTCCTGGTCTCCCATGGGGTGCAGGGCCCAAGCACTTGGGCCATCCTCCACTGCACTCCCTAGCCACAGCAGAGAGCTGGCCTGGAAGAGGGGCAACCGGGACAGAATCCGGTGCCCCAACCGGGACTAGAACCCGGTGTGCTGGCGCCGCAAGGCGGAGGATTAGCCTAGTGAGCCGCGGCGCCGGCCCGCAGCTGGGTCTTAAACTGATGCCCCAATGGGATGCCGGCATTGCAGGTGGTAGCCCAACCGCCACACCACAATGCTGGCCCCTAAGTCACCACTCTGGACGCCCGTGTCCCACACTGGAATGTCTGGGTTCCATCCCTAGCTCCACTCCTGATGCCAGCTTCCTGCCAAGGTTGACCCTGGGAGGCAGCAGTGATGACTGAAGTAGATGGGTCCCTGTCGCCCATGTGGGAGACCTGCACTGAGTTCCCGGCTCCTGGCTTTGATCCCAGGTCCTGCCCCGGCGGTTGTAGGCATCTGGGGAGTGATGTAGTAGATGACTGCTCTCTCCCTTTTCTGTCTCTCTAATAAATATATATTTCTAAAACGTGCTTTAGGAAGCTTGGGGAAATTAAAGGATCTCAAGGCTGGCCTTAGCTCAAGGCAGAGTTACTATGAACTAGGAGTCAAGAGAAGGGGAGATGAGGCAGGAGTGAAAGCAGCATTTCCTGGGCCTGCTTGAGGACTGTACAGCTAGGAGGTCTCGGCTACGTTTTGTTTGTTCATTTATTTTCATCTACTTGAAAGGCAGAGCAAGAGAAAGAGAGAGAGAGATCTTCCATCAGCTGGTTCATTCCCCAAATGCCTACAATAGCCAGGGCTGGGCCAGACCAAAGCCAAGAGCCAAGAACTCCATCTGGGTCTCCCATGTGGTTAGCAGGGGCCCAGGTACTTAAGTCATCATCTGTTGCCTCTAGGATACATTAGCGGGAAGCTAGACTGGAAGTGCAGGTGGGACTTGATCCCAGACACAGATAGGGGATGCAGGTGTCCCAAGCGTTGGCTTAGCCTGCCGCACCACAAAGCCTGCCTCTAGCCAGGCTCTATTTCCTACACATTTAATTTAATCATCACGGCTACCTTAGGCGGCCATTCTTGTTCTCAATTTTATGGGTGATACACATGCCAAGTCTCTCACCTAACAGCAGGAATAGGAAAGCTGTGATGGTAACAGACAACATCTGAGCACCTACTCCCCCTCCTCCCGCCCTCCCAGCAGAATCCCGCTCCTCACCACTCAGTGGGAAAGGCTGGGGGTCCCGAGATTCACACTTGAGCCGGGGCTCCGTAGGCTGCAGCGGAATGTCCCGTGTCTCCTGAGTTGCTCCCAGAGGCGGCGGCTTCTCCCATGGCTCTTCCTGCGCAGGTCCACGTGCGGGGCCTGGGACCTGGAGGTGATCAGGCACCACTCGGTTTATGTGGGACCGACGTTCCCGAGGAGACTTCAGAGAGCCCCCTGAGAGTCAGCACAGGGGAAGGAGAGGAGCTAGAGTCTTCCCATTCAGAGCTTGAGGGCAGAAGAGACAGACACACACACCCCAACTGCTCTACCTGGCCGGGCCGGAACTTGGCAACTCCCCCTACTGCTGCCCCTCTGTCCAGCCTGGAGGTCGCTGACGTGGCTCCCGCAACAGATCCAATCCCCCTTCCCACCTGCGGTTCTGGTTCAAGTGCTTTCTCTAAATCCTCCAGCACAGTCACGGCCTCCTCTCCGCTCCTGGGGTGACGTCCCCGCACCCAGGCCCGCAGCTGCTCAGGCAGGATGGCCAGGAACTGCTCCAGCACCAGCAGCTCCACGATCTGCTCCTTGCTGTGCCTCTCTGGCCTCAGCCACTCGCAGCAGAGCACTCGCAGCTGGCTCAGGGCCTCCCGGGGACCAGGAGTCTCCTGGTAGCAGAGCTGCCTGAAGCGCTGGCGGAAGACCTCTTGACTCGCAGAGTGGTTCCCAGGTGGCCTGCCCTCGCAATCCCAAGGCTGCTCCTCTTCCTTTGGCTCCAACATGGTAATCTTCTCTTGTCCCTGGGTACCCTGAACAGCCAGAGTTTCAGCTGCTGTTCGTCAAACAGCCATCCCAGCCTGGACTAGCTCGGTAAAAGGCCCATACCCTGTAACAAGAAGAAGAAAGCGTTCTTTTCTCCGTCATTCATTAAACACCTATCAGTAGCTACAGAGCGCCAAACCTGGAGCGACACGCTGTCCCCGTATCCTGCTCCATTAAGCCACTGCCTTTAAGAACTTGCAGTCTGAGGCCGGCACAGGGGCTCACTAGGCTAATTCTCCACCTGCGGCGCCGGCACTCCGGGTTCTAGTCCCGGTTGCCCCTCTTCCAGTCCAGCTCTCTGCTGTGGCCGGGAGTGCAGTGGAGGATGGCCCAAGTGCTTGGGCCCTGCACCCGCATGGGTGACCAGGAGAAGCACCTGGCTCCTGGCTTCGGATCGGCGCAGCGCGCCGGCTGCAGCAGCCATTTTGGGGGGTGAACCACCGGAAGGAATACCTTTCTCTCTGTCTCTCTCTCTCTCTCACTGTTTAACTCTGTCAAAAAAAAAAAAAAAAAAAAAAAAAGAACTTGCAGTCTGGTAGAGACAAACCTAGAAAGCGGTTTTCTAAAATAAACTAGATAAATGCCCTAACAGGGAAAAATGGCAGAAAGAAGTGTTCTGGGGACTCATGGGGAAAAAAAAGTTTGAAGCAAAACCCACAGCAGCTCTGGGTCGTGAGGTGCCTGATGAAAAGGCTGCCTTCTCCCAGCCAAAAGGAAAATGTCTCCCTTCTCTAAAGGGTTGGATCGAATTCAAACGCCCAGGAGCTGCCGCAGGGCCCTGTTACGGCGCTGCTATGAGCAACACCTGGTGTGGGGTTCCATGCCCAGTGACAGAGACATCTACCAGGGAAGGGGGTGGGACGCGCTCCGAGGCCATTACAGGAGCGCACAGGGCTGCGGGTCGTGGACAAAGGCGGCGCGCGGGCAGAGCCCTTGTCGCTGGGGTGATGCCCCGGCGGCGCCAGCTCCCGCTCGGCCTCGGCCTTCGGCAGACGCCCACCCGAAAGCCCTGGAGACGGCTTGTGCTGCGGGCCGGCCTGGACCTCACCCTCGCCCTTCACTTTTCCTCCTGGTACCTCGAGAAAGGAGAAAAGGGGCCATCGAGACCCCCGCCCCCCATGGCACTGGACACGACGCCGGGAGCGGAGCGCGGGAACCCAAACTTGGCGACCAAACTCGCGAAGCTGCTTTCGAGGCCTGCTCGTGGCAGAGCCGCCGCTGCCTGGCCTGATCCGTGCGGTCAGCCGGGCCGCGAAGCAGAGCCCCCGGGGGCCCTCGCCGCCAGGACTCACCTCGCAGGTGCGGGAGGCTCCCCCGGCTTCTGCCGTGCCCGCCCCCGGCCCGCCGCGGCGAGATCGCGCCTGCGCACCCCGGCCCCATCTCCCAGAAGCCACCGCGCCGCGGCTTCCGCTCGCCGGCTCCCGGCCGGACGCGTTGGGGCCACCGGGAAGCCATGCTGCGGGGGCTGCAGCGACCCTGCCGCTGAGGGGCGGCTCGGCCGGTTCCCGGGGAGCCTGTGGGACGCGCAGGTGTCGCGCAGGTTGGGGCGGGGCGGCGCCGCGCTGGCGGTCGCCCTGGTACCGTCGGTGCCGCGCTGGGTGCAGAAACGTGTGGGCGCCCCGGCCTCGCTGCACTCATGGCGCGGCGCCTGCTCCCCTTCCTCCGTGTTCCAGTTCCTTGTCCTCAGACCTGAGCCGAGCGTGGCAGCTGAGGAAGCTCCTCTGAGGAGAATACTCCCCAACCACCGCCTCACCTGGTGTGCCCTGGCGGCGGAAAGCAATGTCTGAATGCTCAGGGTTTCACCGGGGCAGGGGAAATAGGACTTACTCGAAGGGGACATTTTGCTGTCTCGTTTTCCAATAATAGAGATGCTGACGGCGAGTTCTGCGAAAGGTAAAAGGACAGTGGAACGGACAAATTAACAACAAAAACCAGAGTGCACCAGAGTTGGAGCAAACCAGCAGAAATAAAAAATCTACCTCTTGGATCAAAAGGGGAAATCAAAACGGAAATTGTACATGATCTAGAAGACAACGAAAAGAATTTCTAATGCCAAAACCTGAGACTTAGCCATAGACGTATTTGAAAACGTATAGCTTTCATTGCCTCCTTTATTAACAGATACATAAATTTCAAATTCATTTCAGGAAACTTGTATTCATGAAGCCAAAAGAAACAAGAAGAGTGAATTAGTACAAATTAAAAAAAAAGAATTAATGAAATAGAAACATAGTAGAAGGGATAAATTCAAATGCCAATTACTTTAAAAAAAGCTTTAAAATAGGGGCCGGAGCCGTGGCTCAATAGGCTAATCCTCCGCCTTGTGGCGCCGGAACACCAGGTTCTAGTCCCAGTCGGGGCGCCGAATTCAGTCCCGGTTGCCCCTCTTCCAGGCCAGCTCCCTGCTGAGGCCCAGGAGTGCAGTGGAGGATGGCCCAAGTGCTTGGGCCCTGCACCCCATGGGAGACCAGGAGAAGCACCTGGCTCCTGCCATGGGAGCGCAGTGTGCTGCAGCCATTGGAGGGTGAACCAATGGCAAAAGGAAGACCTTTCTCTCACTGTCCACTCTACCTGTCAAAAACAAAAAACAAACCTTTAAAATAGATGAACTTGGGGGTGGGCATTTGGCCTAGCAGTTAGGACACGAGTATCCCATGCACAAGTGGTTTAATTTCGGTCTCTGGCTACTGATCCCGACTTTGTGCCACTGCAGACCCTGGGAGGCAGCAGGTGATGGCTCAAGTAGTTTAGGCAGTGCCACACACAAGCAGGACCTGGACTGAGTTCCTGGCACTTGGTTCTGGCTGTGGACATTTGGGGAGTGAACCAGTGGTTGGGAGCTCTGCCTCTTAAGTAAATAAAAAAGTTTTTTTTTTTTTATTTATTTATTTTTGACAGACAGAGTGGACAGAGAGAGAGACAGAGAGAAAGGTCTTCCTTTGCCGTTGGTTCACCCTCCAATGTACGTTGCGGCGGGCGCGCTGCAGCTGGCGTGCTGTGGCCGGCGCACCGCACTGATCCGATGGCAGGAGCCAGGTACTTCTCCTGGTCTCCCATGGGGTGCAGGGCCCAAGGACTTGGGCCATCCTCCAATGTACTCCTGGGCCACAGCAGAGAGCTGGCCTGGAAGAGGGGCAACCGGGACAGAATCCGGTGCCCCGACTGGGACTAGAACCCAGTGTGCCGGCGCCGCACTGGGTTAGCCTAGTGAGCCGCGGCGCCGGCTAAAAAAGTTTTTAAAAATGTCTTTTATAAACTTGCTTAGAGCCTGTTAAGGAAAATAGAAATAAAAACAAGAATAGGCATGAGAGAACAGAACCAGGAGATATTAGAAGATAGTGTTTTTAAAAAAGGTAGAGAGTGAGTGAGTGAACTTCCACCTACTGGTTCACTCCCCAGACAGCCAGGACTGTGCCAGGCCAAAGCCAGAAGCCTGGAACCTCAACTGGGTCTCCCACATGGATGGCAGGGATCCAAGTACTTGAACTATCTTCCGCTGCCTCCCGGGATGCATTAGCAGGGAGCTGGATTGGAAGTAGAGCAGCTGAGACTTGAACCTGCATTCCAGCAGGGATGAGAGAGCCCCACGTGGCAGCTTAACCCATTGTACCACAACACCCACCCCAAGAATTAGGCTCTATTAAATTCAACTTTAGGGTAGCATATTTGAAAGCCTATCTAGCAAAACATAAATGACCAAAATTGTGTGTGCCAGCTAAATGTTTATAAAGTAACCCCTGGCCAGCGCCGCGGCTCAATAGGCTAATCCTCTGCCTTGCGGCGCTGGCACACCGGGTTCTAGTCCCGGTAGGGGCACCGGATTCTGTCCCGGTTGCCCCTCTTCCAGGCCAGCCCTCTGCTGTGGCCAGGGAGTGCAGTGGAGGATGGCCCAGGTGCTTGGGCCCTGCACCCCATGGGAGACCAGGAAAAGCACCTGGCTCCTGGCTCCTGCCTTCGAATCAGCACAGTGCGCTGGCTGCAGCGCGCTGGCCGGGGCGGCCATTGGAGGGTGAACCAACGGCAAAGGAAGACCTTTCTCTCTGTCTCTCTCTCTCTCACTGTCCACTCTGCCTGTCAAAAAAAAAAAAAAAAAAAAAAAAAGTGCTACAAAGGAAGTACAGTTAGATGTAACTTCCAGGAAAACATAACATTTCTAAATAGGAATCAAAATATTTAACAAGAAACTAAATGCCAATTTAATTTGAAATAAATGGATACTTTTCCCGATCAGAATATAGTTTAACCTGAGCTCTTCCTACAATGTATAGTTTGTTTATATCTGGAGGGAAAAGAAAAGTGACACTGTCCTCTTGTCCTGAGTGCACTTTTCAATAAACGTGGCAATTAGACTCACCCATGCATTGAGCAGGAGTATGTATGTAAACTTGAGTCTGTGTTAGGGGTGACCGGATACAAAAGGTTAGTTTCCTGCTTTCAAGAAGCTGAAAGTCTGGGTGGTGGGAATGTGAAGGAATAACAGTACTTGGAAGATGGACAGTGTCATAATGGCTTCTCACAGGCTATGGAATTGGAGGAACAAAGGCTTGTTCATTCAAACAAACCACACTTTAATATTTGCATTTTTCTTAATAATGAACAATTTTTTTTAAAAGTGCTAAGGCTTTTCACTTTAAAGAGCTGAGGATGTACCCAACAGAACCTGGCAGATCTGTTACCTGCATTGAAAGAAAAAGCAGCTTAAGTGACGGGGCCTCTGACAGCTACAGGGATCAGAGGCCTGGGAGCCTGAGCCTGTAAGGAGTTAGCACAATGCAGTGGCTGCCTGGGGACCGGAATTAGACTTCCAGCTGCAGAGTTTCCTGAAATGAGAGACAAATTCTTACAGGGCCAGAGAGGAGTGTTAAATGCTAAGCCAGGACTTTTTACTTCAGGTAACGGGCAGCCATTGGCTCTTACTTTGACTGAGTTTACATACGCCTGTGAGAGATGATGACAGAGTGTTAGGAAGACCAACTACTGGTGTATATATGAAGGGTTAGGAAGGTGAACAGTCTCAGAAGCCCTCCTGCCCCCTCACTGCCAGAATGAAAAGCTTCTTCCAGGTCTGACTGAGATTCTCTATGGGAGCGTTCTTGACCACACATCACAAAAATGGTCGGCGGACACCTTGCAGAGGTGAGCAGGGGAAGCCATTTTCCCCAACGTTATGCTCAAGCTCCAGACGCACAGCAAACAGCCCTTCCACTCAGGCTCGGGAAAGGGCAGTGAGGACTGCCTGCGGCGGGCTTCTGCCGTGCTTGGGTCCATGTGACTGAAGGACAATGGGGTGAATTAGGCGAAATGTTCGTGCGAGAGTGGTTGAAGTGCTGGACAGTGATTTCTGATGGGGAAGGAGAGAAACCGGGAGGGGTGATGGGCAGGATAAAGTGGAAAGGTTCCTGGACTGGATATGAGTTACAGGAATGTGCAGCCTGAACCACACAGCTGTGCCTAGGCTCCTTTAAATTCAGATGGTTCCAGGAACCTTTCCGGATGCACTAAAACATACTTTCTGAAATGAAAATGCTAAGGCTTCCTCATTCTCTCTGGTTATTACCTTCTCAAAATCAGCTAAGGCACTTAGAGCAATAAAAGTTCCCTTATGATCAAATTTTCGGGTATTTATTGAACTGATCTTTTCAATATGTTGATAAAGGAGCTTAATCCTGGTCTCTGCATAAAAATGTAGTTTTTTAAAAAATATTTCTTTGGGTGGGGGGCAGGGCTGGTGCCATGGCACACTAGGTTAATCCTCCGCCTGTGGCGGCCGGCATCCCATATGGGCGCCGGTTCTAGTTCCCGGTTGCTCCTCTACCTGTCAAATAAATAAAATCTTTTAAAAAAATATTTCTTTGGGAAGTAGAGATAGACAGCTCTCATTTGCTGGTTCATGCCACAGATGCCTATGTGGCCAGGGCTAGGTCCAGCCAAAACTGGGTGCTGGTATTGCAATCCAGGACTTCCACATGGAGGATCCCAATTACTTGAGCCACCACTGCTGTGTCTCAGAGTCTGCATTAACAAGAATGTGGAGTTAGGAGCCAGAGCCAGACACGGAACCAAAGCATTCGGATGTGAGACGGGGGTATCTTAATCAGCCTATTAACAAACAGGCTAAACTCCCACCCCTCCAAGAGACATCTTTAATCAGCTCTGTAGTACTATAGCTCCAGTTCTTAGAGTAACCGTTAAATTTGTCTCCTCAAGATATAGCACCCTTGAAAATTTGTCTACCCACCCCATTGCCAGTCCTGGCCATTTACTTGGACTAGGCTAAGCCCCTTCTGACTCCAAATAGGATCAGAAAATGCAGACAGTTGTAATCTAAGGCTTCACGGGTGGTCGGTGGATATAGTAGTCACTTCTTCACAGTGCCTTTGATCATCACTGCACAGGAATTACTGCTAAAAACAGCTATCATTTGTTGAC